CTAAAATCTTGTCTAAACTATTACAATTTATTAAAACAGTTATCTAAAATGCGAAATAACGTCTAAAATTCGTTTTCTAACATTGCTTTTTTATAATGCAAAAATGTGACGTCGCAACATCTGAACCCCCCCCCCCCCCTCCCCCTCATCACACATCGTCACAAAATTACAGACCCCCCCTCCCCCCTACGAGTGTGACGTCATTTATGGATGACCCCTATTCCCGTAAAACATATTCTAAAAACTTTTCTCCCCTATGTGTGTTCTCGATAAACGAGCGGTTTTGTCACAAACATCTGAATTTCTGTAGCCCAATTTAACAACAATGGCCGTCCCAGCCCTTTCTGTTATATAAGAATATACCAGAACGTTTAGCCATGCTCACTACTCATTTATCTTACATCAAATGCGTTTAAGATATTAGAAGCAAATCATTATATTAATACACGGACGAAATTTCGTTCTGTATTTCAGAAAGAACAGCGGTAGACAACCCACGAATAACACCAGTTGACATGTATTTGCGAGTGCTGGGACTTCTGGCGGCTTTAGCGCCCTTGACTTGGTCCTCAACGTGTGACAAGAAGGACCCGTGCTGTAGATATGACGTCGACGGCTGTAGCATTCCGTTTGGTCTGCCATTCTTCTACAAGGGGCTGTTCACTACCTCCTGTGACAGACACGACATCTGCTACCACTGTGTGAGCACTAGTTTGTTACACTTGTTGACACAGATTTTATAGCTTGTTATTTATTCCTTAGTGACATGGTTTACAAACTCACTGGCCCGAGGTCATGTACTAGACGTAGGACGAAACTTAAAACTCGTCTTACAGTCATTCTGTGTTTTTGGTTCATAATATGCGTTTTAGTCAAACTCTTCCGGGATTTCCCGTGCGATTTGAGAGGGGGGGGGGGGGGGAAATCAGATGCTGGGTCTCTTCTGTGCTGTCTAGTGGTTCTTAGTCTCATTGTGTACATGTTGTTAAGTATCCTTAGACCAAACAGAGGACGTTTAGCGTGTTTAGCGTTCAGTATATATACGATATGGGGTGGGGGGGGGGGGGGGGGGGGGGGAATTACAGGATTGTCTTACATCATGATCTTTTGTCGCTCAAGTAGTGACCATGCATGAATAAAGCTTAACTTTCTAAAATCTAAAGGAATCATGAACCTATCTCATTCTATAAGAAGTTGAGCCTGTCTCCTTGTGTCGGTCTCCTTGTGTCGGTCTCCTTGTGGTATTTTCCATGTTCTGGTCACACTTGTGCCGGTCTTCTAGTGCCGGTCTCCTTGTGCGGGTCTCCATGTGGCGGTCTTCGTACTGTTTGCCCTGTACCGGTCACACTGTACCGGTCACACTGTGCCGGTCTCCTTGTCAGTGTTTCTTCCAGACTTTTTTCTCCGGGGGGGCACTTGAAATTTTCGGGGGGGGGGGGGGGGGGGCGGTAGACTTTCTTCGGGGGGGGGGGGGCGGACACTATTAAAAGTATATATTTTCTATATAAATTATATAAATTTCATTTCGTTCGGGGGGGGGGGGCGGTAAAAAATTTTCGGGGGGGGGGGGGGCTTTGCCCCTCGAAGAGATGCCTGGAAGAAACTCTGCTCCTTGTGCCGGTCTTCGTACTGTTTGCCCTGTACCGGTCACACTGTGCCGGTCTCATTATTCCAATCAATCTATAACCCAAGGGTCACCTTGACCGTTGAAACAAACGAACCTGAAGCCAATTTACATTTTATTATATGTGATATAAATTGCATTCAATGATAACCTTGCACTATAAAATAGCGTACGGTGTAGGTGTTTGATTGAGATGTCAACATTATTTACAGGGAGTTGCCTATAACATAAACAGGACGATATGCGACCTCACTTTCAGGAACAACACCCTAACGGCCTGTGATGAAGAATACAACACAACAAGACAGGGCGAAATGACATCGCTACGAGATCACAAGCAGACGGTTCTTAAACTTCTACAACAGAAATCAGATGAATTTACGCAACCACTTGCTGACGAAATGAACCTTTTTTCAAAGCATTTTATACTTCCCCAGGAAAAAGAATTGTTTTTGAAAAAGTTCATTGAAAAGAATTTAGAGGCAGTAGTTACGAAATGGGCAAAACAGCTGACTAATTTACTGACTACATTTTATTCAAACACACAGCCAAATCAGCTTTTTGAGGTTCAGATGGCCAATACTTCTCAAGTAAATAATCCCAGTAAAACTCCCTTGCCTGACTTATCACACGACGATGCGCTATGCCAACGAATCATAGTGGCATCTGAGTTGCCAGATAAATCTACACCTATGAAGCTAAACTGTGACGATGTCAAACTGTTGACGTGTCGCATGTTTTCTTACAGCTATTACCTGGCTGTTCATTTCTTTTCGTCCAAATATTACCACCATGTTCCAGAATTTTATTGCAACCAGACCTTTGTACCAGGATGTCTTCCGAAACATTTTCTTTAACGAACAAAGTAACAGATGAATTTTTATTCTTTGCAATTGCATTTCAAGAACCCTCTCATTACGTAATAAAATAATCTTTGATATACTATTTTAATGTAACATTTCATTGTAAATTAAATAAAATAATTCTAATAATGCTTTGGGGTTTTGATTTATTATTATTATTATGTTGTTACAGCTGTACGAAAGAGTTTTTCAGTTGGTATTGTTGGTTTTTTTTTTGTCCCATTGCAAGAAACGGCAAGTAAGCTATTGAGTTTTCTTCTCCACTTTCTGCCAACTTTAACTCAATTTTGCAATTTTGTCCGCATGTCTCTCTGTGTGTGTGTGTGTGTGTCTGTAAACACGATAACTTGAGTACCGTTACACCTAGGTTGATGAAATTTCATATAAAAGTTATATCAAATTCGTAGATCCGTATCAACTTTTCAGCGATTTCCGATTACCGGAAGTGGAACTTTTTCTACTTTCAATTTTTCAAAAGCCTACAACTTAAGTACTATTTCAGATAGATAGATGAAATTTCGCATGTAAGTAAAAGATCTAAGTATCTGCTTTCTCTCAGATTTCGAGTAATTTCCGTTAACCGGAAATAGTTATTTTTACTATTTCCGTTTTCTCAAAAAACGCATGTGCATTTATAAAATACTAGCCGTCTCGACCAGGCTCTGCACTGGCCTGTGTGAAAAACCTATCTGTAAAGGACCATGACATGTGTGTTTTGCAAAATCGGACCGACCACATCAAAGGGTTGAGATCGTTACTAGAATATCCGAATCCCTAAAACAAAAAAAGATGTTAGGAGCCTACTAGGGAAATGTATCCCAAATTTTGCTAGCCTACTTCACCCCATCACAGAATTAACAAAAACCAAAGGCCCTGGTATGGGTAAGGCTGTTCATTAGACCAAAGAATGTGACGACACCTTGAACTATATAAAGGCGTGTTGCGCAACAGCCAATATTTAGACTGCCGTATATCAACAAGCCGTTTACATTGACCACGGATGCATCGTCTCGTGGTATAGGGTCTTGTCTGATGCAGGAAGCTGATGGAAAACTCTATCCTGTACTCTATACAAGTAGAAAATTATCTTCGGTAGAAACAAATTATGAAATAATAGAAAACGAATGCTTGGCAATAATTTGAGCTGTAACTAAGTTGTCAAAGTACTTGTTATGAGCACCCTTTACTTTAATGACAGACCACTCACCCTTAGTTGCACTGGATAGAAAAAAATAAAGTAATGCTAAATTAACAAGATGGTCATTAGTACTACAGGATTTCGTTTTTAACATAGTTTATATTCCCGGTGTGCTAAATAAAATAGCAGATACGCTTTCGAGGTCTTGAATCGTCAAAGAGGTAGCTATTAATATATTATCCTTCTCTCATTGTGAACTGTGAGTCCCACTTGCTGATGAGAACAAGCGCACAAAACTGGGCAAATGTTTATTTTTTATTCATTCTTTCCTTCTTTGTGTCTTACTTGCCATTGTAACTTTTCCCATCTTCATTGTATTAGCTTAATTTATACAATTGTGTTTGTTTGTGTACCACTTACAACTATGCCATTTTACCCCCACCTATCTCTATGATAATGAGATTAAATTAGCTGTCTTGTTAAAGGCCTATGCCATGGAGCTGAATGTTATTGTATCAGTGGTATTGTTGCATGTGATGGAGAGTGTGATCATGTTGTGAGCTGAATGTTATTGTATCAGTTGTATTGTTGCATGTGATGGAGAGTGTGATCATGTTGTGAGCTGAATGTTATTGTATCAGTTGTATTGTTGTATGTGATAGAGAGTGTGATCATGTTGTGAGCTGAATGTTATTGTATCTGTTGTATTGTTGTATGTGATGGAGAGTGTGATCAGGTAGTGAGCTGAATGTTATTGTATCAGTTGTATTGTTGTATGTTATGGAGAGTGTGATCAGGTTGTGAGCTGAATGTTATTGTATCAGTTGTATTGTTGTATGTTATGGAGAGTGTGATCAGGTTGTGAGCTGAATGTTATTGTATCAGTTGCCTTCTTGCATGTGATGGAGAGTGTGATCAGGTTGTGAGCGTCGCTGGCTTTGCCAGCTTGTCAGACGAAGGGGGAAATGTTTTGACCGGGATTAGCATAGGATAGAGGACTGGAATAAAATATCGTTTGAGTCTTAACTGTATTTATGCCCATACTATTATATTGTTTAACTGTAGGCTAAATAGATCATAATAACTGTAATATAAATAGACCTTAGTGTGTTCGACTGTACACCCCCTTCACTAGATACAAGCCTTTAGATTGTAATTAGTAATTACGGATAACATCCATGTTGAACTTTGTGACCGTGGTGTATACGGGATGGCGGCAGATTGAAAAAAAAACCCGAGGAAGTTATCAGTAGGGTGTGACATTTTAATTAGGCACCACAGAATTGTGGCGACATGCAAATTAGGTTAGGCTTGATAGGGAATAAAAAGAAGGGAACGTTGAGGGTTAGGGCACAGTTGAATGCTAGGCTTGTTGTGTGGAAGTGTGTGTCTTGTGCTCAGTGGCAGAACTCTGCTTTTTCTGTATTCAAGGTTTATTGAAGTTTTCTTACAATTTGTACGTGTGTTAATGTTACTCGATCGAGACGACTATATAACCTGTCCCTCTTGAATTATTGAATTATTACTAACTAAATTGTTACCTCACCTCACTGCAGTCATCAGCACCATCACGTTGCGGTGACTTCATTACAGACAGTATCTATAACATATATATATATATATATATATATATATATATATATATATATATATATATATATATATATATATATATATATATATTTATTTATTTATTTATATTTTTATACGTCTAGTAGAGGTCACAATTTGACGAATCAAGACGTTGTGTACTTTCATGAGCCGAAAATGTTGTGTCTCTGTGTGTGTTTGTGTGTGTATGCATGTTAACACGATAAATTGTGTACCGTTTCATTTAGGTTAACAAAATTTAATAAATAAGTACTATATCCAACGTGTAATTTTCGTTAAACTTTTGAGCGATTTCCGGTAACCGTAAGTAGTACTTAATTTATTTCATATTTCTCAAAAGCCCGTTTTTACTTGAGTACTTTTTAAAGTTAGTTGAGCAAAATTCAGGGACTTTGAGGGACGCTCCCGGGAGCCCCCGATTACACTTCCGCAGGGGCGCTGCGTACGGCCCCTGGCTCGCTTTAATCATCGAATGTTGTGCCAAAGTGTCAATATTATAAGTTGATCCTTAAAACGAAATTAGGCGCCACAGTGCTCAATTGATAGCCCAGGGCGCCAAATCGCACTCTGCCGGTGCAAACGCGCCTGATTCGGTTTAGTGAACGATTATAATGCCCCATCTTATCCATACTCTATCGCACTGTTTAAAACGAACGTAGGCACCATGGCGCCATGGGGTGCCGCCCATGCGAAATTGAATTTTTTCAACAGAAACCTCCTCAGGAGTATTTTCAACATGGCGATCGGATGAAAGGTGTAGTAATGCATAAAAGACAAAGAAACAAACACACAGACACACATTGCTTTAAATGTATGTATATATTATATAGAGATATACCCGAAATTTTAGGCGAGCTCACTACCGATTTATTTTAAATCAATTGCGTTAATGTTTTAGAAGCGATTTAGTTAAAATAATGGACGAAATATCATTCTGTATTTCAGAAAGAACAGCGGTAGACAACCCACGAATAACACCAGTTGACATGTACTTGCGAGTGCTCGGACTTCTGGCGGCGTTAGCGCCCTTGACTTGGTCTTCAACGTGTGACAAGAAGGACCCGTGCTGTAGATATGACGTCGACGGCTGTAGCATTCCGTTCGGCCTGCCATTCTTCTACAAGGGGCTGTTCACTCCCTCCTGTGACAGACACGACATCTGCTACCACTGTGTGCGTTTGTTACACTTTTTAACAATGGTTTTTATTGTATTTTGTTATTTATTCCTTAGTGACATTGTTTACAAACTCTCTGGCCGTGGTCATGTACTAGACGTAGGATGAAACTCTTAAAACTCGTCTACAGCAATACTTTGTTTTTAGATCAAAATTATCCATGATATATGCTTACGTCAATATCTTCAGGGATTTCCGGTTCGATAGGGGGGTGGGGGGGGGTGGGGTGGGGTGGGGGGTAACCAGATTCTGTTTCTCTTCTGTGTTTTCTCGTGGTTGTTAGTTACTCAGTATGTAGGCCTACATGGGGATAAGTAACCTTAAACCAAACGTATGAAGTAAAAATTATTTGCTTATAGTTAAGTATATACACGAGAAGGTATGAAATTAATTATTATGTTTCATGGCATGATCTTGTAGTGGCTCGATATATAGTAACCATTCAGGAATAAACCTTAATTTTCTAAAGAAATCATGAGCCTATGTTATTCTATAAGGAACCTGGGCTGAGTCTGTCTCCGTGTGCCGGTCTCCTAGTGCCGGTCTCCTAGTGCCGGTCTACTTGTACCGGCCCCATTGTGCCGGTCTACTTGTACCGGCCGCATTGTGTCGTATTCCATGTGTCGGTCTTGTGTTGACCATAAAGACAAACGAACCTGAAAAACCCATACATTGTATTATCGAACTAAATAATATAAACTGCATACAATGATAACCTTACAATAACGGTGTAGGTCAGGGGTCGGCAACCTGCGGCTCGCGAGCCGCATGCGGCTCTTTTGATATCAAGATGCGGCTCTCCAGCTCCTCGAACAAATACTAATGATCTTAATAAAAAAACTTGAATAAAAAAATGTTAGTGGCTCTTTAAAACCAGGGAAATTTTGGTTCAAAAGGTTGCCGACCCCTGGTGTAGGTGTTTGATTGAGATGTCAACATTTATTTACAGGGAGTTGCCTTTAACATAAGCAGGACGACATGCGACCTCACCTTCAGATACAACACCTTAAAGGCCTGTGATGAGGAATACAACACAACAAGACAGGGCGAAATGACATCGCTACGAGATCACAAGCAGACGGTTCTTAAACTTCTACAACAGAAATCAGATGAATTCACACAACCACTTGTTGACGAGATTCACTTTTTTCAAAGCATTTTATACTTCCCCAGGAAAAAGAATTGTTTTTGAAAACGTTCATTGAAAAAAATTTAGAGGCAGTAGTTACGAAATGGGCAAAACAGCTGACTAATTTACTAGCTTCATTTTATTCAAACACAGAGCCAAATCGGCTTTTTGAGGTTCAGATGGCCAATACTTCTCAAGTAAATAATCCCAGTAAAACTCCCTTGCCTGATGTATCACACGACGATGCGCTATGCCAACGAATCATAGTGGCATCTGAGTTGCCAGATAAATCTACACCTATGAAGCTAAACTGTGACGATGTCAAACTGTTGACGTGTCACGTGTTTTCTTTCAGCTATTACATGGCTGTTCGTATCTTCGGATCCACAAATTACCTCCTTGATCCAGAATTTTATTGCAAGCAGTCCTTTGTACCAGGATGTCTTCCGAAACATTTTCTTTAACGAACAAAGTAACAGATGAACTTTTATTCTCTGTAATTACATTTTAAGAACCCCCTCATAATGTAAGAAAATAATCTCTAATATACTATTTTAATGAAACATTTCATTGGAAATTAAATAAAATAATTTTAACAATTCTTTGGGGTTTTGGTTTATCATTATTATTTTGTTACATCTGTGCGAATGGGTTTTTCTGTTGTTATTGTGTTGTTGTTTTGTTGTTTTTTTTTTTGTCCCATTGCAAGAAACGGCAAGTAATCTACGGAGTTAAATTCTCCACCTTCTGCCAACTTTAACTTATTCCCGTCATTTTAATACATTACGTAATTCGTTTGTCGCCCTAGGTCCAACGTTTTTTTCAATTTATGTTTGTCGCCCCATTTTTGTAATGATGACTTTGTCCATCAAATATTTCAACATTTTAGGTCGGAAGTTGACTCCGCTTAAATAAGGTTCTGACGTCAAGTAACGTGTATGTTGAGGTGGAAACTCGTACACGAAATGTGCTGAGTAAATATAATTGGAGGAAAACATTAAAACAAAATTCTAAAAGCAACAAAAATATAATTAAACAATTGATCAGGTTTTAATGGGTAACCACACCTAAAACATTAATTCTGATACTACTATTTAAAATGTTCAGTAAAGTGACCTTAATGTGGGATATAATGCAGGTAATTTAATTTCTTACAAAATATATAGATATCAACTCCTTATTTTGTTGATAAATAAACCGGGAGTGATCTCCCCTAAACTTTCTCGGATATTCTAAAAAAACTACGAGGGATGGCAACTCAGGACATAGACAATATTTGTAATCCATTTTTAATTACTTAAACTTTTTATAATAGAATGGAATCTCGTAAAAAAAAGAATTGCACACCTAGTGAACGCCTAATAAAATGTGCATAATAGTTATAAATTTACGTGCGTTTTTTGAGAAATCGGAAATAGCGTAAATTAGTACTTCCGGTCAACGGAAATTATTGAAAATTTGACAGAAGGTAGAGAATTAGATCTTTTACTTACATGTGAAATTTCATTTATTCTATCTGAAATAGTACTCAAGTTATAGGCTTTTAAAAATTTCAGAGTAGAAAAAGTAGCACTTTCGGTTATCGGAAATCGCTCAAAAGTTGATACGGATCTACGATTTTGATAAAATACTTATATATGACATTTTATCAACCTAGCTGTAACGGACACACACACACACAGACATACGGACAAGATTGCAAGATTATGTTTTTCTGTATCAGTGAGGTGTAAAACGTCGAGATTTGTAAAAATCTCGATTTTCTTTTGCACAATTACAAGAATTTCTCTATACTTCGTATATACGAGAAAGTAAAAAAGCATTCCTGAATCAAAACGTGGAAGTAATTTAATCAAAATCACTGCTTTAACGTTTTGGTTAAGGTTCGGACATTACAATCTACTTAAAAATCATAAAGTTTGATACTACGACTTAGAATTTTGGGATATAATGTAGGTTATTTAATTTCTTTAAAAAAATATAAAAATCTACTCCTTATTTTGTTGATAAAAAAAGCATTCCTGAATCCAAACGTGGAAGTAATTTAATCAAAATCACTGTTTTAACGTTTTGGTTAAGGTTCGGACATTACAATCTACTTCAAAAACATAAAGTCTGATACAACAACTTAGACTGTACAGTAAAGTTACCTTAATTTTGGGATATAATGCAGGATATTTAATTTCTTTAAAAATAATATATATATATATATATATATATATATATATATATATATATATATATATATATATATATATATATAAATCTACTCCTTGTTTTTTTGATAAACAAAAGAATTCCTGAAGTGAAACGTGAAAGTAATTCAATCAAAATCAGTGTTTTAACGTCTTGGTTGAGGTTCAGACATTTATTTAATTTAACAAGAAATCAACTTTTCAAAAAAAAAAAAAAAGCGTTTGGAATACCTTATGGTTGAATCAATATTTAAACTTCTTGGTTCATATTGACCAACCAGGAACAATATTAAGACGTAATGAAGAGGGAATTTTTAGAATGTTTAAGAATTAAAGTAGTTCTTTTACATTATTCGTTTGTTATTGGCCTATTCAATGCATGCAAGGAATCGGACCTGCAGAGGCGTAGCGACCCTACCCGGCGCCCGGGGACAAACTTTTTCATTTGCATCCCCCCTCGAACTTTTCATTTGCACCCTCCCCCCTCAAACTTTCGATTTGCACCCCCCCCCTCGAACTTTTCATTTATACCCCCCTCAAACTTTCAATTTGGCGCCCCCCCCCCCTAAGGTCGGCGCACGGGGACATATGTCCCCGCCCCCCCCCCCCACCCCCCCTCGCTACGCCTCTGCGGACCAGATCAGAACTAAAGACGTTTCGCGATGTTTACTGCAAATTACGGAATATTGGTTTGATCTTGGACATGAGACTGGATATGGAGGTCAACATTCTGACTTGAGTGGAAGAGGAAGTAGAGTTCACCTGTTTTAGTGAGCTCAGCGTATGAAGGGATAGTGAGTTCTGTACTATGCTCAGCGGCCTTTACTTTCCCTTACGTGAATCAGTTACCCATACGAGTTGGGTGGACTCAAGGATGTCTTACGGAATCGAGCCCGGGATCCAGACTCTATAGTTTGACCTTGCCGTCCCATATTCTGACTTAGCCTTGTACACAATCTTTCGTAACAAAAGAAACATTCAATAATTGCTCGCTGTCACACTTAGATTTCAAAATGCCGTAATTGTTCTAAAGAAAACTATCTTTAGTATTTTAATGTAGGAACAACATACTTTTTTTTTATTCATCATACATTTTAAAAAGTATTGTTGTGTGTGTTGTTTTTTACAATATTAATATAGTTAAATAAAAGCGTTGGACGATAAATGTAGTTAACAAATATTAAGAGCGACAATGTTAAACATTAGAATAAATTTATTTTTAAAGTCAACACCGTTAAGTAAAGTTAAAACTATGAATGATCTTGCACAAAAATAAAACACTTCTGGCCCGCAACGAACATGTGCTTCTACAACATTTGTCCACAGTGTTTCTTCCAGACTTTTTTCTCGGGGGGGGGGGGGGGGGAAAGTATGTTTTCTGTATAACTTCCATTTCGTTCGGGGGGGGGGGGGGCGGTAGACTTTCTTCACCCCACCCCCCCCTCCTCCGAAGAGAAGCCTAGACGAAACTCTGTCCATCCGAGAACAATATGCAAGGCAGCAGTCGTTTGATTTTGGTGTTTTCTCTGAAAGACGGTTTGCTATGCCCGCTCATCTGCCCGCTGAACTGAATTCGGGATAGTTTGAGTTATAAATCATTCGAAAGACAATAACTCTAGAAGCGGAAATAACATGAACATCTAAGACTACTCTTTATCGTAAAGGTTTATAAAGGTTTCCCAGGTTGAAGTTCATTTTTCTTTTACGTGTGAGAACCACTGTAGATTCTATATTGTTTGACTAAGAACTTGGTTTTTTTTTTCTGTTATAATAAAATTCCAAAATAATCTTAAAATATTTTATTAATTTTTTTTGTTTGACCGAAAAGGAAAAAAAAATCAGTGACACTTTCATGACGTTCGCAATTTTGGAGTTGTTGCCCATTGTAATTTATCTAGCACAAGAAATCTAGTAAAAAGTACTTGGAAAAACTGCCCTACTTTCGTTATCTTGTGCGGCATTCCAGCAACTAATGGAGACAAGCGAGTTGACGAGATTCCTTCCATAGTGTTGTTGTCATGGAATAAAAACGTGCTTTTTAGATTTAGACCGTAAAAAAAAATAAAAAATAAAAACTTAAGCCTAAAATTAATTTAGAAATTTTATATTTTTAAAATAAATGCTATAAAAGTTGTAAATCCAGAGAACTTGAAAATAATTTGTTGAGTTTAAGGCTACATTTCTATTTATTTTCATCAAGCCTAAGTTAAAACCGGATGTTTCACTTTCGTAAGACAAATATTGATTGGCTGTACAGTAACTTAGTGATCGATAACTATTTGTTTACAAAACTTTGCAGATCAAGTTTTTAAATAACAAATGCAAATTAAAAACCCCATGACCTAGTTTTCTATTTTTAGCTTACAATGTGTACAATAAAATCAATGTCGGCCTATCCAATAGCAGGATGCCATTGTTTATGTCGCCATTACACGTGAAAACCAAATTGTTTTGGCTTGTTTTTAAATTTTCAATTAGTTACCGAAAATTTTTAAAACATCAAATAGAACCAATCATTAGTAAAGTCCGAAATAAACCAGACAGACAGGATTTTATAACCATATTAATTGTAACTACGCCGTGCCTGATTTTTAAACTAATTTATACACCTCTCAAATACCTTTGAGAGTTTTCTCGCTCGTGTCCATTCCCGCTCTCGGTAGAAACCAGGCAACTTACTTAAATGGCTACACAAAAGTTTAATTCACACAAAAGTTTAAGTCAACAATAGTGACTCGAATTTCAGTACTCGCTGATAAAAGAGA